CTTTAACAAAGAAATCCTATAAATTTCACAAACGTAAGAGAGTAACGTCTGCAAAAATATTTGTTCTGAAACATATCGAAAAATGTGTGGGCGTTGTAATAGCTACGTGTAACATTCAATGCAATCGCGCGGAATTTTAAATATTTGAATTATTCCGAACATTGCTTCGAAGAATGGCCAGGACTTGTCTGTGAAATTAGTTATGTTACGTTCTCTTCTCTCAACAATATGTCGCAATGAACGTGAAAATTATTCCACGCTGAGAGAATTTGTATTCGTAACTTCGCTCACGTGAACGAAGCTGTCAATTCGCCTCATCAGATTTATATGTCCTTGTCCTTCCTCCTGGACAAGGCTTTGGTTATGAATACGAAGAAAATCGATTCTCGTAACGATTTGATCGATGTTAAAATCAATATGTTGTATGATAGACAAAAAAAGAAGAGAAAGCAAAGAAAACAAATTTAAGAAAAGAAAATTAAATGTAGTATACATATAAGGATAAGAGAAAATATTTAATTTTTCACGAAAAAAGAAAGAAAAAGAAAGAAACGACAAGAAGAAGAAATATAGGAAGAAAAAATCGAATAAAGTTCTTGTACCAAAATTAGAGAAAATAATTTAAATATTACTTATAAAAAAGAAAGGAGAGAAATAGAGAGTAAGAGAGAGAAAAAGAGAGAGAGAGAAAGCAAAGGACCCAATTTGGAAACAGAAAATCAACTAAAATTTCCATATGAGAGTAAGAAAGCACAAATTACTTTATACGCAAAGAAAAAGAGAGAGTAAGAGGGAGGGAGAGAGAGACGTAGGACGGAATAAATAAAGTGGAACGAAAGAATGAGACACGATCGCCGAATTCGCACGGCCTCGACAAATCGCCATTTGGTTTTGTAAACTCGACTTTCGTGCGTCACTACGTGCGTATACGAGCAATTTAGATTTTTCGTTCACACAACGAGAAACGTCGCGGGAGTCGTGAAAGCGCTAACGAGTCTCACACCAAACACACGTCGACTCGTTTTTAGGGATAAAAAAGAGGAAGAGAGAGAGAGAAAGAGAGATAGAAAGAGGAAATGAGACAAAATATTTCCAGAGTTTTTAAATGTTCCAACTCAGTCTCTTCTCTTATATTTATAAAGATAGTGGATAATAATTTCACTTTCTTCAAAGACAATGCTCCTCCAATTACTTACTCATAATTTTTTATTTAATTATAGAAAAGCCAATAAATGAAATTGTAAAATGTTTAATAGCAATGTCATGTTATATTAGATGGACCGGGAAATAATGTCGTTTCTGCGCATGTCGATATTTGATTGTGATTAAAAATAAAAACTTGTTAAAAATTTATTCGTTTGAATTTAATTTAAGAAAGCGATATTACTTTCCGATCCACCTAATATTTATATTCACGTATAAAAATAAAAGAAATCGGAGGTAACAATGACGATTGTCGTTTGTAAGTATATACGTATCTATGTATATTATTTGGAATGTGACGTAAGATTGTAAACGGATTTATGTTTTACGGTCGCGTAAAACCTTTTGAAGGTATCGCATTTATTTAACTGAGTCGTACGTACACATATATATATATATATACACATACATATAACATTGACGTAAACTTGTGAGATCAGATTCAGGTAGTGATTAAATTCGAATATTGAAAAACTCGCGTAAAAATATGAAAAATGAAACGAAATGAAAAAGAAAAAGTACTCTTTCAAAAGTATACTTAACTTCTCGGACACCCTGTTGTTGTAACAGTCTCAAGAAGTAGTAAAATATACGATGTATCGTTCGAACTCTATCTTCATTCCCTCGGCTTTTTCTCTCGAACTCTTTTTTGTGAGAGTGTCACGAATGTTCTTTTACACGTTTCTATGTTCTTTCATCCGTTCCACGTCCTCTTCCGTCTCTCTCTCTCTCTCTTTCTCTCTCTCTCTCTCTCTCTCTCTCTCTCTCTCTCTCTCTCTCTCTCTCTCCTTGTTTTTTACTCAGGAAAGACACTGGCGATGGGAATCGGTAACGTTCGAAATCACGTTCCAGTTTTTCTTAAGAGTTACTTTTTAGGAAAAGATTTTTGTATATATATATATATATATATATATATATATATATATATATATTCTGTCTATTTCTTGAATTAAGAAATAAAAATAAATATAGCCAGAAAAGTGACGTCGATGAAAAGAGAAAAAAATAAAATGGAGAAAAGATTATGGTACGACTTCATATCGAGCTTTGATTAACCGCTTAAAACCGGCTTTTAACTTAGCTTATCTGAATTCTCGAATGCATTATACTCTGCTATTACCTGACCGATCGACCGTTTTCCAATTTTCATTCACTATCACCATCATCAAGTAGAAAAAGTTTTGAAGAAGTTTTCTTTTCGAAAAGAGGAACAACAAAAAGTACTTGGATAGAGTAAATAGGAATATTCAAATGAAAAAGAAGAAAGATGGAAAAACTGAGAAAATATTTTTTCTATTCGCTCATAACAAGAAGGACTTTTCTATATTTTTTTAGGTTTTGTTTGAATTGAAAAGAATGAAGAAGACAGAAGAAAATAAGATAGAATTTGGAATAGCGAAATATCGATATTTGAATCGTTGCTTGATTCGCGGTCGAGAACTTGATCGAAAGTTCATGAAAAAAGAAGAGAAAGAGAAAGAGAGAGAGAGAGAGAGAAAGAAAGAGAGAAAGAGCAACCGGTACCCAACGCTAAGAATCGCGCGGCATGGCCCCGGTATGCGCGGATACGCGAACGCGGAGGTCACCATTGACGCAAATTCATCCGACTATCACGTGACTAAGCGGTGAAACACAATACAACATCACGGGCAGACAACCACCACACACATTTACCGATCACCATCACCATCACTACACCACTAACATGGCACCTTTCATTAAATTTATGCCTCTCTATACGCATTCACGACGAAGGAAAGAGGGATTCTTGTCTTTTGCTTCTTGTGCTTCTCGCTACCTCGTTTCGATCTTACTTTATTATTGAAACTCGTGTACATAGAATAAAGAGAAAGAAAAAGAGATAGATTGAGAAATATAAATAAATGGGCCATCCACACAGCCAATCCTGATGACCAATTAATGCCCGGTCATTTGATCAATCAGAATACCAATGCGATTCGATAAAAAAACTCATATATTGTTCGATTGATAGATCTTTATTTTTTACAGCGTTGCGATGAAACATTATGATAATCATAGTAATAAAAATGACAGGCTCAAGTGGAAAAAGAAAAGTATGCATGACAAGAGTGCGAGGAAAAGAAAAAAGCGAAGATCGAGATGAGAGAGAAAAAAGAAAAAGACAAATCTAAAAAATCTAGAATCATCGGATCCGATTTGAAATCAAAAAAAATCGGAGGACGATTGATATACATACATATGCCTGTATATTTCTAGACGATCAACGATAATTCAAAACAATTTGCTTTGTCACAGATTTCACCTTCGAATCGTACATATGTATATGATAATGTACTAAAAGACTTTAATATGTATTTTTTTCTTCTTTTCTTTCTTTTATTATTCTTGTTTTATAGGCATGTTTTATAGTTTATTTTATAATACAATTCCTTTTTTGTTTTGTTTTATATTTTATGCGTTAAAAAAATAGCCATTTGTTATTAGGAAGTTGAGCAATATTGTTATCGGATTAAACAAATTAATAATTAAATAATAAACATTGAAAAATTGCCAGAACTGATACAATATCTAATCGTAGAATTGTGAATTGATATGTACGTAATATAATTTTATTACATAAGATAGATAAAGGCGATTATTTAACGAATGGCAACTGTAACGAATTTAACGTACACATTATTTTTATATAATCATATCATTAGAAAATAGACAAATTTGAAACGTATGTATACGCATACCAACTAATTCGTATGTCAACACAAATTTGTACTTTGTACAATTGAACATAGAAAAATAAAGAGAAAAGCCAATTGGAATAAATGAAACAAAAAGGAATTTATAGCTAATTGTAGGTATAATAATAAATATAATCCAAAGAATTACGTATTTGACAAACATTTCTAATTGAATGTAATTTCTAATTTCTAATATTGCTATATGAAAAAACATATAATGACAATAAAAACATTAACATATAAACATAAAATTATCATTATTACTACTATGATAATTCTAGTATAATATTCGTATATTTAATTGATTAAAATTTCAATATTTATTAGGAAAATTAGTCGTGCAGAAAAAACTTTACAATTGAATATCACTAATAAAATTTAAAAAAGAATTTGTATCTACAAAAACTCGTACGAATGGTTACAAACTTGCACGAATTTACACGAATCTATATTATCTTTATGAACTGGTTGTATAAATTTAAATTTATACCAAGAGATGTCACTGTAATCCAAATATCACGTAATAGTTTATATAAATATTGCGAAATTATCCTAGGAGACTAGTAAAACAAAACGATACATCGATAATACAGTTCTCTAAGTATATTATGGTAAGATGGGGACTTTAAAGTATGGCTAAATGATTCAGACGAACGCGCTTCGTTTTATTATAATAACAGATAATGGGATAGTGATTAGACTTATCGGATCGTACAGATGTTATAAATAATATTAAATTGTATTACCATCATATAAAGAAATATGAATACTTGGCAGTATCGACATTTGCTTGAACGACGTAACTTAGTGAACATAACTGGTATAATACAAAAAAATACATTCGTTGGTTATTACTGAAGGACAACATTCGCTCTTCTCATACCTTTCACTGTAATATGAATATCTTTTTATTATTATGAATCACTTATATGTATCAAATATTTTTATATATAGTTTATTTCTATAATGATTCATTAAGTTTTTTTTGTGTTATAGCACAATACATTTTTGATGTTTCAATATCAATGAAAATAAAATATCTTGACAAAGAACATTGTTTCAGATGTACTAAACATTATCATGTCATACTCTATTAATAGAAGACCCTTATTAGGGGGTGTGTCTGACAGTGAATTTGAAGATGATTTAGAAACAGAATTTGATGATCCAAATGTATCTATACCTGACGAAAAACCATTTTTAAAACAAGATGAACCTCTTGACAGGTATGAATAAATTTGAAATTTATAGATATTACTACTACATGCCACTAATATAATATCATTACTAAATTTTGTATTTAATAAGACCTAAACAAATTTTCTTTTATTTATAGATATAACTTTGCTTATATAGTTTTTTACCTGCTTGGAATAAATATATTAATTCCATGGAGTTTTTTCATCACTGCAGATGATGTAAGTTTAATATATATATATGTTTTATATATATACATACACATATATATACATATATACATACATACATACATATATATTATTATTTGATTGATATGATTCATATGTATCAGAAAATATTTCAACTTTATCAATATAATTTTAGTATTGGATGTACAAATTTCGACAAATTCATGATAATGATACTAGAACTTCTAATTATAATTATACTGAAAATTTAGAAACGAAGACAGATCTTCAAGCTAGTTTTACTTCTTATTTAAATGTAGCAAGTGCTTTACCAAATACGTTATTTCTAATACTAAATACATTTATCAGCAAAACGTAAGTATTGCTTTTAAATATAGATACAATAAAGTTATCTTATTACTGTTATCATGAAAAAGAAATCAAATTTTTAGGATACCTTTAAGAACAAGAATGATAGGATCTCAATGTATTATTCTTCTATTATTTATCATGACAACTGTATTTGTGAAAATAAATACAGACAAATGTAAGTAAAAATCATGCGAGTAAATAAAAATAAATATTTAATTAAATTATTTTATATTTTCAGGGCAAGCAACATTTTTAGTAATTATTTTGACTACCGTAGCATTTGTCAATGGTACGTAAATATTAAAATTTATTAATGTCTAAAATCTATAAAAACTAAAATTTTTATACATTTTTTAGCTGCAAGTGCAATTTTTGGAGGTAGTTTAATGGGTATAGTTGGACGTTTTTCTCCAAAATATATAACTGCTATGTCTGGGGGCCAAGCTTTAGGAGGCATATTTACAGCTTTAGCAGAAGTAATCTCTCTTTGGATTGGTGCTAGTCCTGTACTTTCAGGCTTAATGTATTTTATTATTGGAGATACTATATTGCTTCTCTCTTTAATTGCTTATATAATTTTAGAAAAAGCAGTAAGTCTTTAAGTAGATATAAGTTATATTTCTTTTCTTTCTTTGATAATAATTTGGTTAGCAAGAATAATTGATATTATTTTTTTTTATCACAGATAGGTATTTACAATTTTGTTATGACTTTTTTAATATATGCTAAGCCACTTATGGTAATGATCAAATCATTAACATATATATATACAACTAAAGTCCACATTGTACCATCTGCATTATCTTAATCGTATTGTGTGAATTTATTCAAAATATGCATATTTTTTTTTTATTTGCAGGCATTCTTTAAGCATCACATGCTGGATAAGTTTCCTGAACGTATAGAATCAGATTTTTCTGTTAATGCAGAAGTAATGTTTTCACAAGTACATACAATTTCATATATAAATATTATTAAAAAAATTTGGCATTATGGTATTAGTGTATTTCTTGTATTCTTTATAACCGTCACAGTTTATCCAGCTATAACTGTACTAGTTGAAAGTGAAAATAAAGGAAAGGGATATGCTTGGAATGGTTTGTTAATTTTTTTTTATCTATGCATATATATACTCATAATTTTAAAGAAATTTGAAAATTGTTCTATTTGTTTTAGATACATACTTTGTACCTGTGGTAACATATCTCATTTTTAGCACAGGTGATTATGTTGGTAGAGTTTTATCAGGCATTTTACAAATGGTAAATAAAAATTACTATTATGATCTTATTAAAAAGTATCTTATATACAGTAATATACATATTTATTACAGCCTAGAAGTAAACCATACCATGTCATATTCTTAAGCATAACAAGAATTGTTTTTATACCAGCTTTGATGTTTTGTAATGCACAACCAAGACATCATTTACATGTTTATATACACAATGACATTTACTACATTTGTATAACTATTTTATTTGCTGTAACTAATGGTTATTTGTGTAATTTATCATTTATATTAGCTCCAACGTAAGTATTTTATTATATATTTTATGTTTGATGAAACTAATAATTTTCATACGTTATCTTTTTGTACAGAATGGTAAACACACAAGAAAAAGAAATTGCATCTGCGATGATGGGAGCTTTCCTTGGTATAGGATTAACAACTGGCGCAGCTCTTAGCCTTTATATGGTTAAAGCTTTGTAATATAACCAAGGTATATACTTAATTTTATTGCCTTTTATACCACTCAAACATAAATATATTGTTAATTTTAAATCCTTTTAGAATTTAATATATTTGAAGATAATTTTTCATATAAGTACTATTAAATATCATTGTAATTACATTTTATAATTTCCTATATGATACATTACTCTATTTTAAAACATGGTTTTCAGGGTATTATGACAAAATGTATTACTATTATCACAATTTAAATGTAGTTAGTAATTAAATAGTAAAAAAATATGAGAAGTAAATGCAGAGATGTTTGTACAATAATAAAAATATAAGTATCAATGGTGGTTTCCATAATATTTTAAAATAGTAATATTGTAATGTAATAAAAAACAATGGTAGAATATTATCGTTATATGAATAATTTTAGATATATAACAAAGTGTTAACTGTATCACATTTTTATGATTCTTTGAAAAAATTTATATAAATGTTTTCATATGATAATTTTATAATATTGTCACCAGTAAAACTTTTATAAATATGCATAAAAACTTGTATGTTTCTCAAGTGGTATGAAAATTTTAGCATAAAATATCGAAATTCTAGTCACATAAATCAGCATTTATTAATACATTCTTGTTTGAATGTCTCATGTACAGAGTCTATGTTATAACTAAGTGATATAAAGCAAAGAAGAAAATAGTTACAGAATATATCGTTATTTGCACATTTTATTATTTACTCTCTATTTCATATTTCAAAAAATGTGTATAGTTTGTTATGTATTAGATAAATTTTAAATATTTATAGAATAAATATCATAATAAAATTATTTGTTTCATTCGTACTCAGTTCTTTTGCCAACAAATTTTAATCTCCTTGTTCACAGCAAAAGTAATTACAAAGTAATATGAATACTCATAACTATAAATAACAAAATGCTCACTTATTGGAGCTTGCACAACCCTCATGATTTCAATTGATGTTGCTTGTCAGTAAGTGGTACAAATACTACGCCCATTAATGACTTTTGTTCAATTTCTCCATTCATTTTTTTGTCAATCTGGACTAAAGTCTGATTGGAAGAATCTGGACCTACAGGAATTATCAATCTTCCTCCAAAAGCTAATTGATCAATTAGCTATAAAACGAATTAAGTTTTTTAGTATATTGCAATATTTTATGAAATTAAAAAAGAATATCATGAATCAATTCTGAGCTCTTACAGGTTGAGGTACTTCCTTTGCTGCTGCTCCAACATGAATAACATCATAAGGTGCTTTTGGTGGATATCCTAATCTTCCATCTCCAACTATAAATGACAATCCTTTAATAATGTATAAATAAATAACAAAAATTATCAATGATTAAAGAATCTCAATTTACCAACTAATTCAATACGTCCATAAGTAAGAAACTTTGGATAACAACTTTCTATGTTTGCTTTAGCTATTTCTTGAAGTTCTGGAATATGTTCAATTCCTATTGCTGTTCCATAAGGTCCTAACATATATGCCATGCAGGTCGTCAAATAACCAGATCCTGATCCAACATCTAATGCTCTTCCACCAACGCGTAATTTGTCTTGAAGTAATTCCAAGACATGTGCATGCTAAACAATTCTCATTTGTATTCCAATTTTTCATTTTCTTTCATCTTCAGTTCTTAACTATTTTATATAAATACTTATATCATTTTTCAAAAAAAATCAAAATAAAATATTTAAAACTTAATGTAATCAATAATATAATATATAATACAAAAATAATAAAAATAAATACCATATGTGGAGCACTTATTGTTGCTCCAAATCCAAGTTTTTGTGGAGCATCAATATAAGCAACAGGTAAATCTATAAAATATTTTCTATCAACAGCATACATAGCATCATAAACATGTTGTGATTTAATAATACCTGATCCTGCAAATAGTGTTTTTATTTGAGAACAATATTAAAAATTAATTACAAATTAAGTAATAAAATGAAATTAAAGGAAAATAAGAAAGGATATGTCATGTAAAAATATTGTGTTTATAACAACTTGACATGTCAACTTATTGGTCAATTTGTAGGTATCGAAACCTTATGAAACCTTATGAAACCTTATGAATTCGATATAATATTACTTACGTCTTAAATGGAACATCAAATATAGGTTGTTTTTCGTTTTAAATCGTCCAAAGGTAGACATTTCATACGTATATACCGCAGCCAAAAACAAGGCTAGCGGTACCATAAAATATTTTATTTTCGATAGAGAATGAATTTTGAATAATTGTGTAGTTATCAGATAAACAGAAAAATTCAATCTTCTTATGATCTCATTGATCTAAAATTGTCGATAATTGCCATTAACTAAAAGTTCACAAAATATATGAAGTCAAAAACATTTTGAACAGTTTGTAGCGACCCTACACCTTAGTGACTACCGTGAAATTGGCACTTCTGAAAGATAAGATGCCAGCCAATCAAAAACAAAAGATGAGATACTCGTTCTCACGTCATTCTACAAATTGTTAGCATTATATCGTTTTTGAATTATATTAACATTAAATTATATCAATTGTGTTAAAATTTCCATAATTAAAATTATCTATTCTAATTAAAATCATTGCGAAATAATTTCTAAATGACCCACAATAAATTTTAGAAATATTCTCCGAATGTTATTAAAATCATCAAATAAATAAAATATTCGCGAATATTCAAAACATTATTTAATCATACTCGATTTAAATTCATTAAATTTTGGTGTTTGAAAAATTAATTCAACTTAATACCAATCTGAGCTCAAACGATTATTAACGACATAATAAATATAATAAATTATTTTTCTAAATTAATGAAAAGAAAAAAAAAATTATCTTTTTACTGAAAATAGTATCTTGGATGTCATATAATAGAAAAATAAAAAATCAATTATATCAACTGTAAACACGCAATTGACTTATTGATTTAATCACTTTTCCTGACTATTAACAAGAGCGCGTGATAAACGTATCCAAATAAATTAACATCAAATTGATATTTAAAATCATTGTTATAAAATATTCAAATCGATTACATGAACGTAATGTAGAGAATGAATTCTGAATAAGTATAGATACGGTTAACATATTTAAAAGAAAAAAGCGCCTTTAATATACAGAAGATTTTATTGATAATATCAATAATTCTTAACGAAACGATAAATTTTTAAATAATTTGGAATATGTAAAGCAACAAGACATTTTGTACATTCTCGTTTGGTTTCACTTAACAATCATGCACACTTTGCACCTTCTTTAAGGGCTTTTCTGTAACTTTTGTAGATGGAATGTATCTAGGAAAATATCCCCAGTATTTTGCTTGCAGACGTAATGGTATATCACATACGGATTTATTTCCGTGTACTCAATAACCAAGAATAACACTTTCTGAAAGTTGTACTGCAATATTCTCATCAATTAACACTTCTTGCGAAAAACATAAACACTGTTGTGTTCGCTATCACTTTCCTCATTCACGTTGATAATGATATTTTTTTTTAATTTGACCGAACGTCTATTTTTTTTATCTACATAAAAAACCCTACTTTTAACTATATAGTAAACAATTTATTTTTTGTTTTTTCGTACTGACTTTTTTATAAGCACACTTCTTTTTTATAAGCATAATTTTTCTATAAGCACACTTGTCCGCCTATCTAATTTTTAAGAAACTATTTATTTAATATATAAGTATATATTTAATATACCAACTCAAACATTGTTCTCTGGTTCTTACCATGCTCAACTGTTCGTCACTTTCGGGATACGCCCGAAATCTTATCGACGATATATAACTATCAGACAGCATGGTGCGCACAATTTATATATTTCCAATACTTAACAATCGACATATGTTTACATATAGCATGTTATTTCAGTGTAAATGGTTAAAGGACGACATTTCGTAGTGTTGAATTTCACAGATCGATATGCCAAAATATATTGATAAATAACTTCTCCTAAAGATTTTGAAAATATAGAAAATAAGCATATATACGCATCGTTCTACAATATTATTGTTTAGAAATTTGGTTATATTTTTGTAACTTGAAGATAACTGAGAAAAAGGAATTAAATGAAGGTTTTATTTTACCGTAGTTTCATATCCATAGGAATTCCATATTTGTTCAGATTTATATAGATTTAAGAGGCTTTGGTCAGTTTATTTTGATTGATCTATTTTATAATGATATTACAAATGCAGGAAATTATAATATATCAGAATTATGTAAATAATTACTTAAAATCACTTTACTATTTTCTTTCTTTTTTTTTTTTGTTATTTTTGTTTTTGTTTTTAAACATTTTCCTCTTATATGAATATAACTCTTGGACTAAAAAGATTTGATTAAACATCTAATAATGGATCTAAGCATGCTTATATACAGAATACAAAATTTAAAGAAGAATGCAGACTTCCTTATAAATTTAGAGATAGATAGTTATTTAATATGAAACTTATGCTTTGGCAAAATAATATTTTTCAATTAATTAATCGTATGAGCCAAGGAGATGAAAAAGCAGAAATCATTCTTTATTAAATATTGTATTCCTTATTCAGCTTACTGTCAGGGCTGTGCAATGTAAACCAAGTATATAACAAATGACGATATTGTTATAATTATTGAGAAGCAGCAGAAGCATCATTTATCTACATATAGAGTAGTGTACAAAGACACTTCTCATTATTAAAAAGATTCATGTTGAAGAGAGCATAAAATTTAACAAGAGAGTTTCTTGATATTCGTGCGTTTACTTAGAATTTGGAATGTAATTATCTTCGCAAAACGCTGAATGTTTATAATTCTCATCAGAGAAGGTCAGTTTATTTGTGCAGAAAAGAATCTAGCATATAAAAATACGATGATGCTGATACACTCGTAATAATTCATATGTTGCATAAGATTATTATGCAAGAGAAATGAATAGACCTATTCAAAATTATTATAAATTCTACACATGTCACTACAGGAAGTATCAAGTTCTACAAATACTATATTGCACATAACTGCTTTATCAGCCTGTATAATATAATGTTAGAAATATGCAAGCAGCAACATTCAATATAGCTTCTTGCCTGGCATGGGAACACCTTCGTGAATAATGATTATTAGCTTCTTTTCTTTCGTTAGAAGCGAAACAAAGACGCTGCGAAAGTTTATTCTTGATATGTCTCTACTGTAAAACCATATTGGCCTATTAATACTCTTATAGAGTTTAAAATTTAGCATCAACTTCCATGTAGTATGTACATATGAGAAATATGTATAGGCCTATCATATAATTTGTAAAGAATGTAATATAACTTATACTATACACACCAACAAGCTACTATCAAATATCCATAGAACTTTCGCTGCGCTTTAAATTATAAAGGACTTCATGGTTTGAATAACTCGTTATACCATACGATTCTATACCTATCCAATTACACAACAGAATATATATAATATGCAAAATATATATAAGTTGCCATAACCATGTAAAAACCACATTGTTAATACACCATTTGGAATGCCAGCCATAAAACTGATATCAGTGAAATAACTTTTATAACATATATATCTATACTGTGTCAGAAATCCAAACAATATTACTTGAAATTATTATTATCTGAAAAAGAATATCCTGAATATTTTTTCTTTTTTTTTTGTTATTAAGTAGATTTCACTTATAAAGATCAAGGGAGGATATTAGATAAGAGATGATCTGCTTGCTACACTTAGTATAAATCATATATGCATTAATAATATTGATGAATTAATCCACTTATATATACAAACAAATAATAACCTAACAAGAGCAGGAATCTTTTCCTCCTTGTTGTTCATTTGACACTCCTTGAAGACTAGTGCGACCAGGTTGACTAGGATTGTGTTGGACACCCGATTCAGCAGCATTAAGATCCAATCTAGAAAAACAATGTTTTGTTTAAAGTTGATGTAACACGTAGTCTCAATATATTTCTATTAATTTATTATTTTCTTTTAATCATATATTCTGCTTCATAAAAGAACATCTTACCGTCCATCTTGTATACTCTGAAATATTTTCTTTGCTGTCTCCAAGAAAGCTTCTTCAACATTATGTCCACTGTTTTAAGAAATATAAGTTGAAGAATAAAACAATTTAACATATAAAGATTTTCAGAAGTATAATATATATATATATATATATATATATATATATATATATATATATATATATATATATATATATATATTAAGCAAGCTTACGTTTTTGCACTAGCTTCGACAAACATAAGACCATTCTCATCAGCAAATTGTTTGGCTTCTTCATAAGTTACATCACGTTGATCTTCTAGATCACTCTTGTTTCCAATCAGAAATATGACCTTAAATAAAATCTGATGTTTTACTTGTTCTTCTTTCTTAATATTGTAAAAACAAAAGAATGTCTAACAAATGGACGCCAATAGAGTTACACTTTACAGATATAAATACCATTATGTACAATATCATATTTTGCATACAGTGCTTGGATTGGTCAAATTCCTCGTGTCTGTAAGCCAGCTGCTCAGATGATTATATGTAGAACGACGTGTAATGTCATAAACCATTAATGCGCCTGCAGCACCACGATAATATGATCTACATAAACAAACAATACGTTTAGTTTTATTCATAAATACTGAAATAGAAGAATAATTGTAACGATTTTTAAATACCTAGTAACAGCCCTAAATCGTTCCTGTCCTGCAGTATCCCATATTTGTAATTTTATTTTTTGACCTGCTACTTCAATAATTCTAGTACCAAATTCTACACCAATAGTATGTGGACAATCTGCCATAACTAAAAGAATAACATAAAATTCAAAATATTGAGTCAATGGCTAAGTAAAAATATTATTTACAAGTATTTCAGTTAGAATCGCTTACATTTTTTTTCTGTAAATTGATGAAGTAAGCACGATTTCCCTACTCCCATATCACCTATGATAATGTACTTAAAAATATATGAATAATTGTATGGTCCAGTCGACATTTTGTACCTATAAAAGATATAACATTGATCACTCCTTTGTGTTAAACTATGATTTAATGAATACTTAAACTAATTATGACTTCTTATATTATAGTGCAAGCAGCAAAAAATATTATCACTTAGTATTTGAATATCATCAAAATCTAATTTTTACTTTCAAGATACATATATATATTTCTATAGAATTAATTATACAGAAATAATATTATTATATTCAATTGTTAATAAAAATTTTCAATTGTAAGGTCAACTTAGATTAAATGATTATTATAGAAATGCATAGTTCTTCGAACAAACCTTAGGCACTGTAGACTTGAATTACACTACTGATACTAACTATTCGATATAAAAAAAAAGTGATGTCAAAATTGTTAAACGTACTCACCTCTTGTAACACGTTTACGCTAAAACTTTATACTGCTTAACAATGCTTGAAATTATTCTTAACGTTAGTTTTACTGAATAAGCGACTCTCTATACCACTAAATTCAGATATATTGTTCGCGTTGAAGTAAATAGTTAAGAATCCTTTTTAACACGAGCAATATGGCAGTTCACTGTCTGTATTAATGATGGCGGAGAATAAACGTCAAACAATTTGTCATTAAAATCAAGATGATTCACTCGTAAATCTAAAGACGTTATTAAGTGTACGTAATTTATTTGAATTACTTTATTGAAATTTGTAATCTTTATTAACTAATTAGCAGAGAGGTCAAGACATATTTTGTAAATTCTACATTTCTTATGACAGCTTCGTTCTAATTTTTTATGAACGATGACTGCGCGATACACAGTCTACTTTTAGCTATCCACTCATTGGTTGACATTCTAAATATAAAAAGATATCTTGCGTGAAACGACCAATAGTATTATTTCTACGTTTCATATTATTCATGATAGAATTATGGATTGTTAGCGCGAATTTACAAGTAGAGACTATATAAAAGAAATAGTAAGGACTAGTAGGAACATACTTGATCAAACGAAAATTTATCAACATTTGAAAATATAACGAAATTGGTAGTTACGTGGCAAATCTAGTTTCTAAATTGACCGTTTTCCAACTTTAGCGCTACTAACGTTGAGTGTGTTTTGTATATTCGAAAATGTTCATTAAATGAACGGACTTTTATTGTGTTCTCTAACGCATCTTTAACGTTACAGAGATATTTGATTATTTAGTTTTTATATAATTTATTTTTATCTAAAATAAAGATGCATTATAAATAGAGTTGATTTAAGTATAATCATTTATTTTAAACGTTTAAAAAAATAATATTCTTATTACAATTTGTATTAAAAATAATATATTTTTGGTTATATTAATGTCATATTCATTCAATTATATTTATATTAAATTTTTAAATATATAATATACATATATATAAATATATATATATATATATATATATATATATATATATATGAAATTTTAATAAAATCTCTATATTGTTTTTAGAAAATTTCAAGAATATTTGCGTCATTCTAAGCTTATATACATTGTGTATATATAATCATTTCCATGAATTTTTTATTGCGTATATGCGAAAATTCGATAATTCTGGAATTACGATTTCGAGAAAATTTGAGCTTTTAACTACATAGTTTGGAATATTTTGTTGATGTATCTGATATGGAACATCAATGCGATTGTGGAAGTATTCATAATGATGCAGAACTAGGGGTTCAGTATAATTTATATAAAAAGATAGATATGGATAATGTTAAATGTTTAAATGAGTATGAAGAAAATAGTGGGATAACAGTATTCAAACCTTGGGAAGAAAGGCTAGACACTAGTAAGGTAAATTTTATAAATATTTGTTTTAATTGATTGTTATAATAGTTATGGTACGTATAAAATTTAAGAATTTAATATTATTTAAGATGAATCACAATTTTGATATATTATATTGATTTTAGTTTGTGGAAAGCGATGTTGACGAGGAGCTTCTTTTCAATATACCGTAAGTTAAAGAATTTTGTCTATATTTAAACTTTAAAATTAAAAAGTGAAATATAATGTTATTTGATGCAGCTTTACGGGAAATGTTAAATTAAAAGGACTTATTATAATAGGAGGTGAAGATCAATCTCGTCCAAACAAAGTAAAATTGTAAGTATTACATAGATATATAGATATTTTTATAAATATATGTATTTGTTATGTTTTACATATAGATATAAGAATCGACCACATATGACTTTTGATGATGTTACAATAGAAGCAGATCAAGATTTTGAGCTTTGCAATGATGAAACTGGTGTACACGAATATCCTCTACGGTATGTACATATTAGAATATATTATCTAATAATTAAGATCACATAAGTGTAATATACAAATTTAGATAAAAATATTTAAATATATTTATTTCAATATAATAATAATTTTTGTCATTTAATTATTATATATAATAAATGGAAGAATGTAAGGATGCATATAAAGTATTATTTATTTATAATAGAGTCGTAAAATTCTCTACTGTTTATCACTTGAGTCTTCATTTTATTGGTAATGGTGGAGCTGAAAGATCGAAAATTTATTACATTGGCCTAAAAGGAGAATGGATGCCTGCTCATCAGCATGGTGTTACAATTTGTACTTATGAACTGATACCACAAAAGGGCAATCAACTTAAGAAAATGAATAATCAGAGCAGAGAAGTTAGTTGATTTTCTTTAATTATAAATTCAAATTTCAAACATTCTGATGATTAAATAAATACATTTTTCTTACTTTAATAATGCCTTCTTATTGATAAGCTATAAAGAATTGTTTCTGAATCCCAACCATTCTCACAAAGCTACCTTTTTTTCTTAAAACAATGTTAATTATCAATTCAGTCAAAATAAGGCATATAAGAGAAAAGAAGTTTGTTTATAACTGCCTAACTAAGAAAAGGAAACCTTCGAGTAACGTATTTTCAAATAATCGATAATCAACGCGATTAACAAAATCAATTTATATGTACATATATTACATATACAAAAAAATTTTTAAGAGTATCTTTAGAACATGAAATAATAAAAAAGTTAATATAAACATATGCCCTATTTGACTTCATTTTCGAGATTAACTCTATCTACTTATTTTCATAAAAGATATTCAAAATGACATCTTTGCCTGATTACAAGCCTACAGACATCTTATTAATCTTTTATTCTCTCTATATGTCTGTCATCAATGATAGTCTTATTTTTACATATTGCTCGAATTTATTGAAAAATTTGTTTTATTCTTTTATGATAAGTTTTAATATTGTCAATGGCTGTTCTGTACACCATGGATTTTAGATAATCCCACAGGTAAAAATCCATCAGATTTAAGTCCGGTAAAAGGGTAGATCAGACAATAGGATCTGTCCATTTGTTTGAAAACCAATTATTCAGAAATTGTCTAGAAAATATGGTGACATAATCTAAATACATGACATAATCTACGTTCGTCTAACAAAAGAATCATAGCGATACAAAATTCGGAAACGCATTCAAACAGGACATATGTTTATATGAATTTTTTTATTATTTTGATATGCAAAAGCCACCCCTAAAATATTTTCCACTTATTCTGGGACATCATGTATAGCATATAGTGTATATAAGAACACAGGCGCAAGATATAAAGAGCGGATGAAATAAAAACAATCGATTTAAGATCAATTAATATATGTAAGCATCTCATCAAAGCGTTACTCTTCTTTTTCTTATACTAATTTCTCGATCGTTGTCAATTAAATGCAGCTGTGAAGTCAATTAAAGATATATAATTACTACATTCTATAATCAATGCTGTTTTATCACATAATATACAATGCTTTAGGTTTAAATTAAATCTGTGTGCGTATGCATAAGTATATCAATCAATCAATCGATTAATCGAAAATAATATCGAGTGAATGATTTTAAGAAACGAAGATATAGAGTAAGACAAAGATAGACAAAACGCGATGATTTGAAAAACATCATAAAAAAATATAATGGGATTGGTAGAAAAGCCATTGACCATAAATAAATAACAGGGGCAGAGGGGAAAAGTAACGTCGATCTTGTTGGCACGCTCTGAAATGTTTCTTGGAGTCGTATTTACAATCAGAATCGAAACATATGAGACTGAGAGTTGGCTGCGCGCGTTAGCGCGCTGTAGATCGCGAAACTCATGGCTCGCGCGAGTATGAGCTCCATATCGGAGATAACAAAGAAGGAGGAAACTAATAAGAACAGCAAATTAAAAGATAATGTCGGTGAAGTTTATTCGTTAATGGAAAATCATTCCTTGAGGATTCCCGCTTTAGCAAAACCACCGGACGGAGGATGGGGCTGGTTTGTCGTCCTCGCATCTTTTCTTATACACGTTATCAGTAAGTTTATCGAATTATTTTCCCCTCCATTTTCTTCTCTTTCCTTTCACTTTCATTTCAAATCAAAGTTATGCGATTTCCGCGAAAAATGCGATCTTGATGTCCTCGACCGCATTTTTTTTTTTTTAATTTCACAATGTCATTCTATCATAGGTCTTTGATAAAAGCTTTAATCTTTCTCTCGTTTCAGTATTTATTACATAGATCGTGGTTCAATATAAAAAAAATTGTATTTTCATTCATACGTTTTTAAAAAAGCTTCGACTTTTCTTTCGTTTCATTACTTGTTATATGGATCATCTTGTGGTTCAACGGCTAACGAATTCCTCGATTCCTTCAAAACACTCATGATAAAGTTCTCTCAATTACTTGCTTTCTATGTTTTTTCATGTTTACAATCGCAAAGAATGCAGTATTATTAAAAAGAGTAAAAAAATGTGATAGTAAGCATGTACTAATGCAATATCGATCAATATAGAAAATCATTTCACGATAAAGAGGGTAACGTCGAAAGATCAGAGGACATAAACTCGTACGTATATATATAACACACGTGATGCGTCATTATGTTCCCTAACTCGATTTCTTTGTTGCATTGTGAGTTTGACGAAAAGAGCGTAAAATTCGTTGAAACGAACATTTTGAAAGAAAGAATATCATCTGTGAACTATCTTTAACACATTGAATATATGTATTGTATTATGTGTGTGTGTGTATGTTATATATAACATTATATATATATACATACACACATACCTATGTCGATATATGAAATTTTATTTTTTGCAAAAAATAAAGCTTCACTTTAAAAATTTTTATATGATTTGTATATCGAACATACGTCATATATTTGTATATCGATTATTAACTATATTCTCACAAATATAGTTAACAATCGTAACAGAAAAACTGTACTAACTAAAAAATAATGCGTTTTTACTCAAAATTATTTTTTGCGTAATAAATCTACTCTGAACAATAGATTTACGATAAAAATAAAAATCAAGTATAAGTAATTGTGAGAACTAAAAAAGAGTAAGAGCTCGTTAATGCGACAGACAGAAATATTTTCATTTCTATGATTGCACATGAAATTCATCGACAATAGAACGTTACAATCCATAATCGTGTTCATATTGCGTTATCATTGGAGATGACGCATTGGAAGTATGATTTTGACAGAGTCGAAAGATGTAAAGATATATTATATATTTGTCTGCAAAGAATCCACAGAGAAAAAAAGCGAATTTTAGATAACCTTTGTTGACTTTAATTGAAACGGTGTTTCAAAAAAAACTCGCGTAAAGCGTACTTTTACAGTTGAATACACTGTTTTTTTTCCGTACAAAAGACGAAACTTTTGGCTTGAGTCATCTTCTTATCTTTCTGTCGTTCAACTTCATCCGACCACTTTCATATCCATTCATTAAAAT